TAAACCATTTTAAACGAAGCTCCCGCCATTCTCCCCTTCCACCACTTCTGCTGTTGTCTTTTTTGTTGAAGAGGAGGCCGGGGGGGGGGGTTACTCTCCAATACCGGCCGGGTTTACACCGAGCTTAACTCATGGCTAACATGGATTCCTTTCTTTCCAGTCGGACGGTAGATCAAGGTGTCGAGTAGATAAATATGTTTTAGACTCTTAAGAGCAGAGTAAACAGTTAAATGGTAGACGGGAGGCAAGCACTGGGGCCACCCACCCTCGCTCCCACCCGCCGAGGCCTCGGAGAACCCAACGTCTCCGGCTCTTGAACTATAGCCTCTGAAAATTCACAAATTGAGGTAGCACGCGCCTATTAACTCGATAACCGACCACGAGGGCCGCAAGCCCGCTCCGGCACCTCGCGACATCGACGTCTACCGCCTCCCCGCAGAAGGTCCAGAGCGGCATGAGGCTAGCGGCCAGGATGGAGCCTTGAGCGGACGGGTGTATGCATGGATATGATGGGTAATTCGAGTGCCGGCACCGCTGTTTTCGGCACGATAAAAATGGCTATTCACAATGCAACGAATTAAGGCATGAATGTTGATGATGCTGTTGTCGGCCTGTGGGTAGTGGAGCTGGTTATACACCGCCAGCAGCAGCAGCCGCCCTCGGGGCACCAAGAGACTGATGCCTCTACCAGCTGATGGCTCTGCCAACTCCACCTTAACTGATAGAAAACCTCATTTTCTAAACAAACCTACAGCTACCTTAATTACTAAGATTAATAATGCCACTATCAAATAATGCTTCTATGAACCCCACCTAAATTGCTAGAAAACAACCACATTTCCGAAACAAAAAGCCAGCAACCACGATAACCTAAAAACAAATAGCTTACAAAAAAACTTTCAAACAACAACAAAAAACAGCGAACCTAACAGCCTCGCTCTCCCTCCAGCACAAATGACAATTTAATTACTGAGAAACAACTATTAAATTGAAGCAGGACGGACCAGTACTCGGGGGAAATCTTAATTACAAGGGGAATAACAAAATTATTACAGTGAGTTAATTATAAGAGAAATTCCAGCGGTGTGTGTGTGTACCTATTATACCGCTCAACATACAAGCTCCCAAGAATTAATTTAAGTCGTATCTTGCGCTAGTTAATGTAGCTCTTGCCTGTTTATGGAGGGAATATTAACCCTGTTCTCCAGCCCCAGCTGATAAGTTAAAAAAAATTGGAATAATAGGGGTAAGATTAACGGTGGTGGTGATAGTGGATGTGGTAGTGATAGTAGTCACTGTTTGCCCAACAGTGACTATGGATAAATGTGGTCTAACGCTCTATGGGGCATAGAGCGTTAGACCTCCAGCTTGGGGCTGGAGAACAGGGAACAGCATTGTTGTACCTATTGCGTTATTATTTAACGGCTTTGACGATGGAATTCTTTGTCGAACGTGGCCTTAAAGTTGTGGATGGAGGTGGCTTCCACAACTACTGTTTCCAGTGTATTCCACTTGATTACTTGTACAGGGTACGAGTACTTTCTTATATTTCTTTGACTTATTTGCATTTCCTGCTTCTTCCTACATACATTTGTCCTACTTTCTCTCAATATAAAATGGCTCTCCTTATCCACCTTACTGGTACCTATTTGCTGCAGTATCTTGTATGCTGTGATCATATCCGGTCTGTTTTTTGCTTTTCTCTGGTGTCAAGAGATTTACTTCCTTTGAACCTCTTAGCTCTGACACTAATTTTGTTGCATTAGCAATTGTTACATTTTTGGTTTAATGTTTCATAAGGTGTAGATTCCAAAACCGGCCTAATTTGTGCTATTAAATTGTGTTGATTATCCTTGTTTAGGATTTTTAATGACATTCTTATGTTTGCCAGCTACCCATATACTGCTTGTGGGCACCTCTGATGTTAGGGTTGGAATTATATCTACTCTTAAATTCTTATATTTCCTTTTCCTGTAGTTGCCTTCCCTCTATGGTGTAGATACCTGGTCTCCTTTCTTCCTTTCCTCTTTGATTTACCTTACACTTGAGGGGATCAAATTCTAGTAGCCATTCGTGTACACTCCTGGAATTTATCAAGGTCTTTCTGTGGTGGTGGTCATGGTGCTTACTTAACAGTGTCTACAGAAAAGTGAGGTCTAGATCTTTATCCCCCTGCCTACTAGGCTTGTTGTACTTGTGTTACAATAACTAATAATTATGACATTCACATTCTTTGTCGAATCTTGCCTTAAAGTTTTAGATGGTGGTGGCTTCCACAACTTCTTTGTTCAATGCATTCCACTTAACTGTTAACGATCTATACAGGGCATGAGTATTTTCTTACATTCCTGTGTCCTCTTCTGCTTTCTCTCAATTTGAAGAGGCTATCCAAATCTGTTCCCCTCAGTATCATGAATGTTGTGATAATTTCTTCTGGTGGCGAGAGTAGTCGTAGTGGAGTTGAGGGTGATAGTGGTGGTGGTAGTGGTGGTGGTGAGGGTAGTCATGGTGGAGTTGAGGGTGGTAGTGGTGGTGAGTATGGCAGTAGTCGAGGGGTACTTACATATCAGTACATACCAAGTTGTTTTTGTTGAATTATTGTTGAACTATTCTGATGTTCTAAATCTTTTGTCAAATCTGGCCTGAAGGTGTGTATGGAGGTGACTTCAAAATTTGTTGTTGAGTATTGGTGATATTATTTAGTATTATTATAATTAATACTACTAACATTATTATTATTATATCTCCAACACAAAAAGTGTCTGGAATTGTATGTATTGTACAAAGTCCACAGAATATAAGCCCCTCATATTATTTCATTATAACTCTCAATAAAAAATAAATCGTCAAACAAGAGCTGTCATATGTGACAACTTGCTAGATGTTCCCTTTGTTTAAACAAAATATTTTTGACACATCAAAAATACAAAAAATTATGAAACCTACACAGAGAAATCATAGTAACGTGATATATCAATGAGAAAATCCACAGGAGCCGTGATGAGGATTCCTGGATTGTACCTGGATGGAGTTTTGGGAGTTGTTCTACTCGCCCTGGCCCAGCCCGTGGCCAGGCTTGATTTGTAAGAGCTTGGTCCAACAGGTTGTTGCTTGGAATGGCAATTTGAACCTATGCATGGGGTATTCTTAGGCATGCTCTAGATGACTAGGCCACAACATGGTCAAAAGAATTGCAACCTGGGGTTCTGCTGAACCCACGAGGATTCCCAAGGATTACAGTGAAGCCAAACCAGAGTTTCACACAAGAGTGCAAGGGGTGAATTGTGTGAAACCCTGGTTCAGCTTCAGTGGATGCCTCGGGAATCCTTGTGGATTCAGCAGAACCCCAGGTTGCAATTCTTTTGACCGTGTCGTGGTCAAGTCGTCTAAAGTGGGTGTCTGGGAATACCCAGTGCATAGGTTCAAATCCTCATCACGGCTCCTGTGAATTTTCTCATTATGAAACCTGTAATTATCAGGTTGGCAAACAAAACATAACAATTACTTTAACAATTTAAACAGCTAGTAAACAAGTGCCCTTCTTCCTATCATCAAAATATGACACAAGAAATGTCTCTAGGTAGTAAGTACAGGCTAATTATCAAAGGAATGTGCTGAGCCCTGAAGACTATGCAACACATCTGTCACAGAATATTTAGAGGTCTTTAAATATCATTCAGGATGACAATACAAGAGCAGAAAAACAAGTGATATTAAAGGAATCAAATTAACCAAGGAATTTATAGAGGGACATGACCAAAAAACAATGGGAAAGCAAAATTTCCGATCATCCTGAAAATTAAAACATTCTATAAGAGGCACAACTGTCAGACTAACAATGCAATTTTAACAGAAGTCTCTGGCTAAGTTATGCATTGGCCACACAAGATTAACTTAGGTACAGGTGTCTGTCACATCAACTGCCCATTAGTGTCAGAACTGTATTGCTCCTCTTACAGTCACTTATCTCCTAAAAGAATGTCCTCATTTTTGGGATAACCAAAAATTTGGCTATCCTGCTGTTCCTATACACCAAATGTACCTCTATACAATCCTTGGTAATGATTCCTTTAGTACTAATCATCTGTTTTTCTGCTACTGTACTGGCATCCTAAAAGATATCTAGGAACTCAATAATCTGTATGAGTCAGTGCTATGTAATCATAATTTCTTAGTGCTATATTTTTATAATAACTTAAAGTAAGCCTATACACTAGGTTCAGATCTTTCACTAGCATTCGTTCCTTGCTCTCCCACATCACCCTTGCCATGTACTGTATATACCTGTACTGAATAACCAGGGTGGCATCACAAAACCTTGATGCATACCTACAATAATAGCAAATAAGTGATTAATTTTACCATTAACTCTTACACTTGCCCTACTTTCTACATACATAGTTTTCAGAGAGCCATTGAATGCATCCTTCAAGAAATAGCCACTGAAGGATTCCTGCCAGAAATAGTCTTATTATATAAACACCTGCAAGAGCTTTCACATTTTTATATTCTGAATGACCTAAATTATCCTGACGTGCAAGGAGCAACACAAGCATCTTATACAGTACTTTAATTAAATACCATTATAAATTAAGATATGGGAAAATTTCTTGAAACATTTGAATTTGTTGAAAATTAGATCTAACCTTGGCATGGACTATATAATCACATGCACAATTATATCTCAAAGTGTATTAGTTCACAACTACCTACATGAATGCTATAACACCTACCAGTGTTGACTATGACCAGTGCATGTTCTATTTGTCCTCCACAAGCACTGATGCCTACAGCGCTGAACTATCGGCAGTACTGTATGTCCTCTATTGTCATATATGAACACTACGACACCTACCAGTGTCCTTTATTTTCTGCAACACACCAAAATAATTCAGCAAGACGATAAATAAGAAATTTATGTTTAGAAAATTTAGGTAATTAGTAGGCAAGATTACAACAAATTTCCTTACTTGTATCAAGAATAACAAGGAAAGGATGGCTCATTTCAAATCATTTATTTTTATATTCAAGCTTCATCAGAATTATTCTTGAAATATAAGTACCCCGTATATTACAGATATGTTACTACAGATTATGAGACTACGTCATATACATATTTACTGTGCTACATGTAGCAGGATTAAAGAATGTACACATACCCAGAATATTATCTCAATGTATTTTATATTAAGGGTACTGTGCTGTACTGTGCTTATATAATTTACATAACCAGTGGTGTAAATATCTTAACAGGTGTGTATAAAAAGCACATCTGTACATTTCCTCTGTCAAAGCAATATCACACTGATAACAGATATTGCAGTGAGAGCTTTTGGTAACAGTAATACAACATTAAAGTGATATTAATGGAAACTTCAGTATGAAAAACACACAAATTTTAAAGATCAATGCCTACAACACTATTTTTTACCAATATAAATGGAAAGTCCCAAATGACTGTTAAATCAAGGATCGTTTGCCATCAAAAATATAATATATATATTTTTGTTGTTGCTCTGTAAACCAGTTTTTCAAAGACCCGACACAAAGAAAAATATTAAATTCATTAACAATTACTAAGCAATAACTTACAGTATTGGTCTCCTGATCAACTGTACTAAGAGCAGACATGAGCTAAACTTGAATTCATTGAACATGACAACACAACAGTAACAAGAGAAAATATTTGTGCCGTATCATCCCTGAACTCATGAGGAACACACACTACCGACTTCCAGTTGAACAGCTTCAATACTTTCTCACAGATGTATCATGTTCTTGTTATTTCATTATGAACAACAGTAACAACCTCTATACAACACCCAAATGTTGTACCAAAAATACAAAGGGGGAGGCTCAATCTTTTGAATTATAAAGCTCCTGGACAAAATGGAAAGAAAATGGAGCCTGATCAAAGTTATCAGACGAGTAGTCAAAATAATGCTAATCTACTTTCTAAACCATTCTAAAATGTACTGTATATACATCTGTATTGTTAGATCTGCCAAAATAATGTCTTGGTGATACTGATCCAGTTATCACATTGATTAGTGATCTGACAGGATTTAACTTCAAGGTCAAGCAATGGGACAGGTGGCCATTCTGTTCTTTAACTGATGTTACGAGGATAATGCTAAATACTGGTGTACAAATGTCCATACCCTGAAATACAGTGGTTATAACAAATTCCTACAGCCCTATTTCTTCACTGATTTAACAGCCATAGCATTGATACCAACTGTGGAGATTTTCATCATATAACCATGTTCTTTTAGTACTGTTTTTTCCATTCACCATTTCAAATGCAGAGACGCTTATGTACCATGTTATCATTACATATCATACTCATTATTTTCTGCATCACATAATGTTTTATCTTGACATTGACAAGAGCACTATGCTGAAAATAGATGCTTATAAACAAAATTTTTATAAACACAGAGATGCTTTATATAAAAAGATATCTGTCTACATACGTATATGAAATAGTGAAAGTATGCACAGTCAGCTGAAAATTCACTTATAATATATTGTACAGTTATGTAGGGGAGTCTTTATACTAACGCACTGATATGCAACCTGTCGTCCTACAAAGAACATTGTTTTTCGATCGTATGTGTTAAATAAGGCAAAAATTGTCTTACTAAAAAAGGGAAACAGCTCACGAAAGTGACGTACTGTCTCATTTTCTGTTTTGGATCCTCTGGTAGGTTAGGAGAGGACACTATAAATTAACTGTTTTCTTGTCATTGGAAAACTTTAGGAGGACGGACTGTGATATAAAACTGAGGGGGGAATAAAATTTGCCCATTAAGTATAAGTACTTTCACCATGTGACAATTTTTAAAATGCATAAATAATTAGGAGAAAATTTGAATAATTTTTATGAACTATATTGACATTAAAAAATAAAAAAACACTACCAAATTATTGTTAAGCTAGTCCAGCAACATCTGTCCCTGGAAAGTGTTAGATTATTCATCTAATTATTTATCTATTTATCTTAAGAGTGGGTTGATATTTGCCCAGAGAAGATACAGGAATATTGTAGTAAAAGATGGTTAAAGACATACAAAATAGCTTTGATCCTTTCACCACACTTTCTACTCGGCAGCATATATAGCTATGGTATATATTTTTACTTTTAACTCAAATATATTAATTACCTGTTAGATTAGTGACCTGCCCGAAATGCTAGTCATGTTAATAGCTTTACAAGAATGTAAAATAATCACTGCTATATACCCTTATAAACCCAATGTATCTTCTTGTATATATAAATAAGTGCCTAGTGTGTTTGTGAATATGGATACACTAATGAAGTCTCTATGCATACCTAATACAATGCATACATTTTCTATAAATAACCCAAGCCACACGTATGTAATGAACAGAAAGTGACAATATTTTGATCTGCCATGGAGCCTCTAGTCCAGCATAGCCTCAAACGTTGTCCCTTTCCTTTCATGTGTGAGTGGGTTGGGTTATCTGTTTTCAGCCACGTTATTGACCTTAACACATTATCTACCACATTATCTATCCTTAACAGAGCTGACCTCAAATTATTATTTGGCCAGCTTCTTTCCCCCATCCCTTCCCAAATCCTTATCCTGACCTCTTCCAAGTGCTATATAGTCATAATGGCTTGACACTTTCCCCTGACAACTCCCTCCCTCCTGTATGATCACATTTGAAAATCAGATCCAGGATTGAAAGTACTGTACATTAAAGCCATTTTTAAATGGAAAATTATTATAGTGTACTGTAATGTTAACGAGATCATGCTTCGGTAACTTACACTGGTACCGCTGTTAACTTTAAAATAACTCTAGTCTTCGGTATGCAGTTGGTGACTTAAATAAAAGTGGACATGATATTAGAACAACCATCTGTCAAGAACTATTGTGATGGATATACCGTCAATATCCCGACTCCCACTTCAATGGGTGGGTTGACGTTTGCCCAGAGAAGATACAGGAATATTACAGTAAAAGATGGTTAAAGACATACAAAACAGCATTCATCCTTTCACCATATTACTTGGTGAACCATGCTACTACACCTATTCGGCAGCATATATAATTATGGTATATATATTTACACTTAATTAACTCAAATATATTAACTGGTCTACTATCACTGGGAAGACATACTACACTTAAAGTAAAAACTCTTAATAAAAAACACATTAGATAAGTTCAATCTTTAAATAAAAATTCAACCCCCAACAAAAACAAATACATTTAAATTAATGGCATTCAAACCTTATACTGTATATCACATTTTCAAAAACCATACACTTCATAATTTATTCAAATAAATAAACTAATCTGGATACATCTATAAGCAATAATACATAGCATAAAACCTTATCCCACACCCAAGATTCAAAGCCATGTTCATACACAAAGTACCTTAAAGAATTCATTGTAATATATCATTTATATTTTTAATTATATTATCTGTATTAATTAAAAACTACAATTTTCATTATCTGATAAAATGAACATAATACAGTGCTATAACTGTACATTCACTAACTAATTTTCTAACACTGGGCTACATTGGTATGCTAATTTCATGTATCATAATACTGGGTAGTTTTAAATAAAAAACAATCAGTATCATGGATTATCATCAATGATTTAATACAGATAATAATCCAGGGTTTTCTAATCTAGACTCTTATTACACAATAGACAATACAAGAAAATAACAATACCTAATCATACCTTCACTGTTCTGGCCTGAAATTGCACCTATACTGAATTTTCTAAATGCCAGACCCTTTCTTCTTAAGTTTAGAGAAAAGAGGAGGTGCGGGAGGAATCCGCACAGTTGCTTTAGAAGACAGTTTCTCCATTGCCATTGGATCAGGGTTCATTTCCCTCACGCCACGGTGGTGCAGATTAAGTAACCTCGGTATTTTCGTTTGAACGAACCTCACCTGTTCCAGAGTCATCTTCTCACAACCACTGACATCTAAGTAGCGTAAGGTGCAACAGTTGCTCAGACTGTCTAGGGCATCATCTGTAAGCTTCACACACATCTGTGCATAGAAAACAGTTCATAATTATAATAAGTTACTACAAATGATGCAAATGCCAGGAGTTCTAATCGCTTTCATGTAAAGTAAAATTGTCTCAATTTAAGTGACCTGTATCTTATAAACAAATTAAATCCAGTTACATCCAAGAAGAATTCACATATACTGTATAAATATTTATACTGTATATATATTAAATAATTCCTACCTGTAGATCCAATGTTTTGATACGTTTAAGGTAGTGAGCAATGACAAGTATGACATGATCAGTTGTCTGGCCACATTCTGCAAGCATGAGCACCTCAAGACTTGGACAATGTCGGGCCACTGCTTCCAGACCACTCTCTCCAACCTAGAAGTATTATTTTTGCATTTTAAGTTAAACAATACCAGCTTTTTCTGTAAGTGTAAAAGGTAAGTTGGGGTCGACATTCATATACTAAGCAGAAATAGTTGCAAGGCATACCCCATAAAAAATATCCAGTACTCAAATAAAAACAATATACAAAGTACAGTACTCAAATAAAAAGAATATAAAATTTTACAATACAATATGCATACAATTTTTATCTTAAATAGTTATCAATTACATAAAAAGAGAGTAGTGAATAAAGTGAAAAGCTTCATTCTGTTCTGCCCTTCATTTGCCCCCGACCCAAACACCTGCGTCAAACCAGGACAGTCTTGGATACACCAAGGTTTTATTGACAAGTACCTTTGTTAATGGTCTTAAAGAGTAATACAAAGAGGTAGACACTGTGGAATTCTCAATCAAACTTGCTACAAGACAAAGGACCAAATCAACTCAAATCTGCCTGCAAGCAATACTTATATTCACAAGGAACACCAATAATCACTCTGCTAACTAGGGGGTTTGCTCTAGTTACTACCTCCTACTGTAAACAGATGGCAGCACCCTACAGAACAACAGGGGCAAGAGTGTTGGCAGCTCTCACTTGAAGCCAATGCAACATTCCAACAGACTTAAGGAAACCAGAAAATAAATAAACACAATGGAAGGCAATGCATGTAGGGCATAACAATACACATCACAACTATCAAATCAACAACACATACAAAGGGCTACAGCTTCAAGCTCAACAAACCATAATGGAGAATAGAAAACAGGAGATGCCTTTTCACCCATGGGAATATAAATTCATGCAACTGTCTGCCTTCTGAAGCCATAAATGCCAAGACATAATTCAGTTGGAAAAAATTCTTAGAAAGAATGGTGGGTACAATTGACAAGCCATTGGCATCTTGCCAATGTCATAGCGACAATATAGAGAGTGGCCCTCAGGTAAATTCATTTCACTTACAAACTGATTTGTTCTTTTGTCTTATTGACAGTGGTCAAGATTGAGAATACAGTACTTCAATGTCTGTCTTCCTTGTACAGTATTATGACAAGAACATTTATAAAGAAATTAATTTAATTATAACATTTACTTTGCTAAAATACCAAGAAGTACAATACAAACTGCCTGACAGTGTGAGAGATTGAGGTACTGAAGCTCCCTTAGGTGAAAGGCATATATTAAAGTGATGTCCGTGATTCTCTTGCAGCCACACAAGTTCAGCTCGCGTAAACCTGAGGAATTTATGAAAAGAAAAATAGTTATTCAAGATTGTAGTTTTAAATGATGATAATTTTATTACAATGTGTTCAAAATATAATTTGTGATCTAGTAATTAAAATCTTTTTATGATGGGTCAAATTAACTTAATTATATAATTATATGTTACAAATTAGAATTGTTATACAATATCTTGAGGTTATCTTGAGATGATTTCGGGGCTTAGTGTCCCCGCGGCCCAGTCCTCTACCAGGCCTCCACCCCCAGGAAGCAGCCTGTAGCAGCTGTCTAACTCCCAGGTACCTATTTACTGCTAGGTAACAGGGGCATCAGGGTGAAAGAAACATTTGACAACTATAAACTATGAAAAGTATTGAAATCCGAACTCTTCTCCATCTGTTCACACTTATTCATCGCCTGTTTTCTCATATTCTTCATCTGTTCTCTCGTATCCTTGTACAAACTTAGGTGATAATTATATCTCCTATTTTTCTTATGTCTTATTTTAGGCATGTCCCGATCCTTTAATCATGTGTCAATGCTCATGTTTCTTAATTTTGGAATGCATTTTATTTTAGTCTTACCATATGTTATATTTTGTTTAAGATTAGAAACCATACCAAAGCTGCATACTCCAGTTTAGATATGTCATATGTTGTAAAGAATTTGTGTAATGTCTTTCTACCCCATGTAAATTTAATATTCTAAAGGCCTATTCTAAAACATGCCAAAATTAGATAGAATTTCCCTATTTTATCTTTTACATAGTTTTCTGGCGATAAAGTATTGCTTAAGATTACCTCAAGATCCTTTTCTTTATCCAATTTTCTTTGAATACTGGCATATTAATTATATAATCTATAGTTCTTACAGGGGGGCCTATTCCCACTGGTTTCCCATGTGTACTAGATATTTGTCATTTAAATTCCATCACCCATTTCTTGCTTCAGTCACTTAGTTTTCCCAGATCTAACTTAGGAATGTTTCAGTGATCATGATTATTGTATCACCTTCAAACATATTCATGTACTGTATTTCTTATGGGAAAATTTGTTTTGGTTTGTGAATTTTTGGTTTACAAGCTGTCTTTGGGAATGGATTAAATTAGAAAAACCAAGGTACTACTTTATTTATATGTATATATTGGGAACATAAACAGGTCAATATTGGTTCTTGTGGGACCCCACCAATGAGTTTATCTCAGTCTGACAACTTTTGAAAATGTAAAGACTTAATTAACTTGAACGTGTAAACAACTCACCACTGAGATTTGACACACTGAATTCAGATGATTTCACAATCTGTTCTATGTTGTTCTGTAAATACTTCTTGACTTCTGCTTCTTGTCGAATAATTTTTTCTGCTCTTGACCCGAGCTGCACCTTGAATGGATCTATAATAAAGAACAAAAATGTTCCAACATGAGGGTATTTTATGGTGTGAACTGACCAAGCAATCTTAAATCATCCCTGCCCAATACCCTGCTTTTAACCATGTCGTATCTCAGTCGATTAAGGCAGCGTCTGGGATGCTCTCGGATGCAGGTTCGAATCCTCGTCACGGCCCTTGTGGATTTGTTCATCCCTGCCCAAAGTTATCCATTCAGAAAAAGATTACTATAGATGACAAGTGTTACAATAACTACAAGAAAAAGCACAATGTCATACAAAATGTCCTACCAACACACTCTTAAAATCTCTATGTAACGTCATCAGTTTCAGTCCCTCCATTTCCCCATTTCATGGCATGGAGAGGCATCAGTCAACAAAAAATGGGAATAATAAAGTGAAATAAAGTTAATGGTACTGAATAAAAAGTCACAACGATTCATTACATTATTCGTATTGCACTATATATATCATTACAGATTAACATGCAGCATCACACACTAGCAACTACCCACAGCAATATTCAACCACTTTGTAAGACCAGGTGTAAAATGCTGTTCAAGAACTGTCAGTTACAATATAAATACTGCACATTATCTCCTAAATCACTTCCACCAACCCAACTTTTAAAAAAATGTTCCCTTTTTTTTATCTTTAACAGTCTCCATTCAGTGACTTTCCTAGATGCTAATAGCAGTAGAAACTTTATCTTAATTTTTTATCAAAGCCTGGAGGTTAGGTTAAGAACAGGTTCAGACAAAACATGCCATAATACTGTACAGCATTGTATATCAATTTACAGACAGCTCTGGATAGTGTGTGAACAAATATTATATTGCAAATTGCAAATGTACCCTTTTCCTTTACACCAAGGTTCTCTAGTGAGAAACCCGTTGTCTGGATTCCATCCGGGTCCTTTTGACCAAGACCGTGGCCTGCCAGACCAATGTCTGACACAGCTGTACAGCCATTCAAGTTAAAGATGCGAAGCTTCGTCAACGATTTACATATTGCCTGTTGATGAAAATACTGTATTAAGACTGAACTCCATATCAATTCATTGTACCTTAGGATATAATGTAAAGGGAGAGTACAGGGATATCAAAACCCAAATAGAAGATTATGTGATGATAAATCTAGAAACTGAAACATATAGCTCCAAAAAAGCATAACATTCAATTCCAATCAAAGCTTACTACAAAACGGAGGTATAGTATTACTGTACTAAAAACATTGAGGATCTAACCTGAAGACTTTTGTCATTAATGCCAGTGATGCACATAGAGACATCAAGGTGCACGAGATTTGGGGCAATTGATGGCAACTTTGCAATAACCTTCCAATCAACTGGTAGTGAAGCCAGGTTAAGCACTCTTAAGTTTGCTCTCACTTCCTTTCCCAAAGCTTCCTCCACACTTTCCGATGTGACAGATTCCAAGTGGGATATATTCAGTTCCTCCAAATTCCTCAACTGTCCAAGAGCTCTGATTCCATTCTGTAGCGAAAAATGTACAAAAAATATATCCCATAATTTCAAACGAAAACTCAGAAAAGGGGAGATATTGGAGTGCTGTAATGAGGAGAGGATTTTAGATACGTGTATGCAGTACATAACCCACGAAATGTAGCTAAGTTTAGTAGATAAAAGTCCTTGCTTAATATTACCATTCCAAAGAACTAAGAAATTTATGAAGCAATTAAATATATTTTGCACAGAAAAGTACATACAAATGATATGCAGTGCACACTCAAAAATCCAAATCTCCATATAGTGAATTCCTCTAAACAATGGATAAATTTTCACATAATTTATCTTCCAAAAATTTGGATCTCATTAAACTTGGATTCCTTAATATGTATAAAAAAATCATACAGAACTAGTATGTGTGAATATGCTGAAACGTGTATAGTACAGTATTATATCATTTTTTATACAAAAATTCTAACTTTTTTCACAAAAAACACTAGCCAATTTCCTTTTTTACTTCTCAGTAAAATGGATCAAGTTTGTAACCATATAATCTGGGTTTTTAAGGGTGTAATGTATATACCATACTGTACAAGGTATGTATATACAGTACTGTGTAAGGTATGTATATACAGTACTGTGTAAGGTATGTATATACAGTACTGTGTAAGGTATGTATATACAGTACTGTGTAAGGTATGTATATACAGTACTGTGTAAGGTATGTATATACAGTACTGTGTAAGGTATGTATATACAGTATTTACTTGTATCATGATAAATTTTAAAATATTATATATCATGAAAAAAAAAAAATGTAATTATAATTATTAATCCATATACAACTTTATAGGATGAGAAGGCACTCTCTTTAGAAAAGATGGAAAATGAGAGTAAGCTCTGAATTGGAGTGGATTCTAAAGGTGCAGTAGTTTCGCTATTACAAAGTTTTTAACACGTATCTATAAGCCAGAACAAAGGCTTTTTAGTACAAGTGTGTGTGTTTACCTATCAGTGACTATAGGGGAAGAGATCTAGCTCTTCATGCCTTGCCTCCTGGCCGTTTTACCCGACACGCCAATTACCGCTCTCATGCTTTTGTATTTGTTTTGTTGTGGCATGTTGTAATGCAGTTCAATGACACTTAGCCAGTACAGTACCCCATTTTTACACTGTTAATGCAATACTGTGTACCTGAGACCTCCTGACTCACAGTTTTGTTGTCTTCACATACTTTTTAGATTATGCTCTTGAATCATGTCACTTCACCACCATCTTGCAAGTTCTTTGTCACAAGATACTCCCTTGAAGAAATTGCAGGTAATGTTATCTTTAGAAATGACCTACCTTGCCTTGCATTGATTTCGGGGATCAATGCCCCTGCAGCCCGGTCTCTGACTAAGTCACCTATGACATTTTAAATCATAAAATATTTTGAGAGTTCAGACTCTGCTGCCTCTCTTGGTTGTGAATGTAAACAAACGTAGCACATATGGAACCCTTAGTCTCTCTGTAACATGTGCTAGCTCATTAATGTAAATTTAATTAATGTAAATGTAATGTAATGTAAATGTCTGATAGAACTATCTTTACTGTGACACTGTATCAAACATATGCCAGCGACAAGGTAGAGCCGACTCTGATGAGGTAGAACCTCCCACTCTCTCAAATTATTTCTTGAAGCTCATTTAACACCATCTAATAAACATGTAACAATCATCTCTACATCATTGGTGAGTACTCATATCTGGCAAGTGGTGGCAGTATTTGAATTTGTATATTTTTTTAAGAAAGAAGTGAAAAACAGGTTTATGTGACGAGTCTAAAAGTCTTCTTATTTATCCTATAAAAGTTTGCATTTTATTTATGCAGTTTTTATTTGCATACCTTTTACATACAAAGCATCCAGTGACCTAGTTGAGGGCCTATAGTATTCTAAGAGAATACAAGAGTTGAAGGATACCTATATACAGTAACACAACCTTTAAAAAGGTTTCACATTCAATTGTAGATAACTGAAAAAGAGACTCATATATTAAACACAAGCGCCCCACATGTCTTTATAGAAGAATGACACCTCTGGAAGTGAGCCATCCATATAAGGCTTAAAGAACTAAAAATATCAATTAAAATTAAAAATACATAATCAACACACGATCTTACATACCTCAGTAACACCCTGACATCTCCGCAGGTTAAGCTTCCTTATATTGGGCAGGTGCTGGCACACAGCTAACACCGCATAATCTGTAATGCGTGAGCATAGACTCAAGTCCAGATCTGTTATGGACTTTTGGTTTTCACAAAGAAGCTGAATTCCACGTTTTGACAACTGGTCACATGACATCAAATGCACCGATTCAAGTTTAAGTCCTGGTACCTTTGATAGGTTATAGAGGCCCTCACTGTCAACTATTGTTCTCCCTAAACTAATTTCCTTCAACGTATTGGACTTCTCCTCTATAAATTTTAATATATGCTGAAATGTTAACACATGATCTGACACAGTGATTCTTCCATCAGCTGGATAGAACCTCTTATGGATGGCTTCATGGAATGTGATCTGACAGCCTGCAAGAGAGAGTTTTCTCAGAGGCCCCACAACTGTAATAATACGAGTGAAGAGAGAATCTGTCAAGTATCTCGAGCAAGCCAGATGTAGTCGAGTCACGTTCTTGAGGGAAGATGAGAGCACTTTAACATCTTCAGGGTTGCTTAAAAGAGTACCTAGAAGATACAAATTGAAGTCATACAATTAAGGAAGTATATATTCAAATCTACCACTTGAACATGTTACAGGCACTCTATATTGAACATATGTACTGTAAATTCACATAGCCGTCTTATAAATATAATTTGAGAAACTGATAACATCCCCCAAAATAAAACACAATGAATAGTTATGTTTAGAAGTTAACAAATAATAATTGTCTAGCAGACAAGTGAACATAAACTTATATCTACCTGCCATAAGTAGGTGAGCAAAGCCAACAAATCTAAGGTCTTTTAAGCTGCTACATTGTTTCAACAAGCAGACAAAATCCTGTTGACTGACATCTACATTCATCAACTTCAAGCTCCTCACATTGCTTGAGACTTTCTTCCAAACCTCAGCCAACTGACCCTGTAGCCTGATGTCAACCTCCTGCAATAGTGAAGAGATATTTCTTAACTTCAAGCTGAATCATCAGTATTAACCAATTTCCCACTTCATGGTGTGGGGAGGCATTTGTACCAAGCAGACAGGAAACTAGTACATTATAGAAAAAACAGAGTGCCAAGTGTAATGAAATGTCCCTTTCTTGACAATGGCTCAATAGTTTCCATGAGGTTAAGCTCTGGCCATTAATGGTCAGATTAGCTAATGCCAGGTATGATAATGTCTCCCAACTAATCATTGGGCAGGAAGCGAAGAGTGGGTGTGTTGCGTGAACTGGCAGTGGGCTGGCTGCCACCTGGTGGTGAATGGTGGGAATGAATCATTGGGATCACTTGTTTAGTAGTTATAAGTTTTGTTCAACAAATATGATATTAATGTCTATAATATAAAAACAAACCCTCCAAAAAACAATCAACTATACTCATATACAAGTTCATAACTATAGGTTTAGAGCAAGTCAGTGATCAGTTAAGAAGTTCACACTTGATTTACAAGTACTGTAGTGAACATGACTAAAAACAAGAGTTGTGTCTTTATGAAGATATTATTATTTATGATTTTGTTCATAATATTTCATAATACTTCAGTTTCATGATGCAGTTTTTGTGGAATTAAAACTGAACAGCTAGAAATGATTTAATTAATTACATTCAGAATCTGTTACAAATGCCAACTGATCCAAGCGTGTTAACGTGCCACATGGAGGCAGTCAACTACAACACAATAGCAGCAGGCAGGTAGTCAAATGCTATGGGATGCTGATGACCAGCAATATTACCAGCAGCTTAAAACACGCACTGACCACTTTGCTAATCATGCCATAGGTAGACGCCAGAAATATGAATGACCAGTCTCTGAAGATGTGAACATCTGCCACCTATCATTTGCACACACACAGCACCGAACAGTCAAAGTTTATGATAAGATTAGATTTTTATCCACATGCAAGTACTGTACATATCTAGATACTCTAGAAGTAATATCACAAGGTCATTTTGTATTAACAAATATATCGGTACTTTTTCGAAACACAATATACATCTTCTAAGGATTTACAAAACTAAAGAAAAAATTTTGGCAGTTTGTACTTTTATGGTAAAAGCAGGACAAGCATAAAAGCAGGTTTACCATATATGATAATACATTGTGATATAATCATATACTGGTATTATATTTACATTTACTAATACTTGTATAGACCTCTACGATTTAATTTAGAGGTCAAATAAATTTCAAGCAGATTTAAGCAGGAAAATCATTTTTCATCAGAGAGCTTAGCTAAACTTTTCAAACCTGAAGAGTAAATTAAAGCCAATGCCAAGTGAGCACAGGTGATATCAATAGGATAACAGAGCAGCAAAGTCCTCCTCAAACAATGTTATAAACAATCCTAAAGAATGGAAGGGTCGTATTTGTTTCCTCATTGTGCTCTTAAACACACTTGATGCAGGTATATATACTATCTCTAACTATTATGTAACAGTTAAAGTTTCTTTATCTCAGGAGTGAATAGAGGAGAACTTTGTTGTTCAGTGCTAGGTTACACATTGAACTAAAATGTGCAAACACATGGCAAAAGAGAAGATAAACAATTGCAAAAATATATATAAACTAACCCTCCCTAAAAAGACTTCTGGAGCCATTAAGGTTGAGAACACGAAGGTTTGTGCATGACGCTAGGAGACCAACAAAATCAGCTTGACTCATCCCAGTACTATGGAGGCTGAGGGAGCGTACCTCACCTCCCTGACCCAACCACCAATCCCCCCATACCCCACAAATGGACAGGTCCACTTCCTGTAATGGAACGATGGAAGACTATATTCAAATGAAACACTAAAAAAAAAAAAAAAGTTGATGGAAATACATTAAATATATTTTATGACCGGGAATATTAAGTGAAAAGTGTTAGATGGAAATGAGTGACATTGAAAATTAGGAGTTAAAATAATAGAGGCATAAATGACAAGAATTGATGGGTTAAGTCTATCTTATACACTGTATGTAGAAGGAGATGTTATACCAAGACCATTAAAACCACTATTGTGAAAATTAAACTTCAACAAGAGGGGTGGGAGAGCTGTAGGATCAAATAAATAAATGAGAATACAATTACTCAAGCATATTTTATTTTTAAGACTTCTGACCGTTCAGATAAGCTGACCTTTCAGATAAGATAAATATGCAGAAGGAAAAATGATAACAGCATACTTATATGACTGAGGTCCTAAATAACTGAAAGATTGCAAGGGTGATTCCTTATGAACACCAAATGAATTAAAGTAATTGTAAACAGCTCATCTTTATATTTTTCAGGACACTGGCCAATACTTTATTTGACCTTAGGGACTGGAGATGTGTTAGGTTTTAAATTTTCTACATATTTAATAACTTCCACCATGGTAACTACAGTAGAACCCTCGTTAACTGAATCATCATTTTCTGCATTATTAAACTAGCCATAAGCATAAAGCCAGATTGAAAATTAACAAGACTGATTTTGACAATTGACCTAAACCAAAATATTATATGTACCTGTACATATAATATTTTAATATAATTTACAGAACACTCAAAATCGCTATTTTTGTATTTTTGGAAAAGTACTGTAAAGAATTTGTGATGACATTAAAGATGGAATACCACAATGGTAATAATGATTGGCATGATGTGTATAGAGATCCTGTGCAATGGTGTGCCTAGTGAAGAGTGGATGTGTGATTAAATGCTAGATGTCTCGGTGAGATCGTCACAAAGCACCGTGGAAATAGAGTGTACTGCAGGACTACATGTTGGAGTTTTGGTATCTCGAGGGACTAAAGTAGACAAGCTCTGGTTGGAGGATGAGATGTTGACAGAACGTGTGTAGCCACAAGAGGCCAAGACGATGAGGCCAAAAGCAAATATTGTAAAATAATAAGAAACTAGCTATGAGTCCATCTAATATCCCCATCTCAAAGGACGGAATGGGAAAACAGATACTGTACTGTACTTGCAGCACAGTACAGGAAGAAGTGGACTTTCAACAAAAAAGTATGGCTATAGATGACTGTCAAGCAACTTCCCAGTAGCTTCCCGGTGCTTACAAGCTGGTTTCAAAGGCCTGGCATAAATATAAGACATAGTGGCATAAGCGCACAAGCACCGGAAAGCTACAGAGGAAGCCTTTCCAAGAATAGTGTTGTTGATTTATGGAATACATTGCTGGATAACACAATAGATGTGGGATTGCTAGTTTTCAGGAATAGGTTATATAAAGATGTTTCATGATTAGTTGTGGTTGGATACAAATGGGAGCTACCTTGCAAGGGCCAATAGATCTTCTTCAGGTTTCATTAGTCTCATGCTCATGTGTAAGTGAACATGAGATTCAATGTATACATGCAAATATGCAAGAAAATAAATCATAAAAATCAAAACACACAATATGTAAATACCTTAACAATTTACGCAACAGGCAAACCTATTTTTTTCTTAATTAACAATATTAGGTATACTCAGCAATGTGCTGCTACTGTGTTCTATATGAAGAATTACAGAATGTAGATCAGAAACCAGCTATGAGTCCATCTAATATCCCCATCTCAAAGGATGGTTAGTCATACTGTATGTGGAATTGGGAAAAACCTGAAATGTGGGTCTAATCCATTAGCCTGCACTAGCTACTGTATGACAGATACAGTGTTGGAAAGTATGTCCTAGTTCTTGATTACATAGTTTACATTGGAAGCAGTCACCATTGGGAAATTCATTTCCTGCAGCCACCTGCCATAGATATCGATATCCTAACCTAATTCTGTAAATTACAATGTCACACTGTCTAGTGGATATTTTGTGCTGTCTGTATGTATGTATGTATATATATGCAGTACTGTATTCATGCTCGAAATACTGTGCATATTAATGGCTGTAAATTTTGTATATACAGTACAGTATCTGCACTGTACTTGTCATACCTAGATATCCAACATTCTTCTTGTATCCTATTTTGCATGTTTGTACTTTATCCTAAATAATAATAATAATAATAATATTATTATTATTATTAGTTCTTGGTTCTAAACATATCATAACTCTTTATACTCGTCCTTCCTGCCCTTCAAGTGTCAGTGACTGCCCTTCTGCCATCACCAATTTCCTGGTACACTTCTGTTTTTACAACAGAGATTGGAATTCCTTGATTTAACTCACCTTAAACACCCAGTTATGGTATGGAACGGTTGAAGCACTGAAGGTCTCAACGGCTGGAGCTGCATCATCTGTGATCATGATGGTGACTTTTTCTGCTAAGAGGATTGTAGCCGCTTCCCGCCATAGTCTACACACACATGAAACTGCTAGAAGGTCACTCACACCCAGGTAATTGAAGAGATCAACCAGCACCTGAGTAGGAGTGAGTATAAGCTTTAGGAGTTAAGTATAATGGGATAAGAGATATAAAAATGTATAGTACAGTATATGAAAATCAGCAAGTCCTCTTGGCACTCATTACTTTGTTTATTTGAAACTTCCTTGTTTTAGGGAAAAGGGGGCTAGGGACTAATGCATCTTGTCAGATAATGTTACATTGAATATGTTAACAAATTTGAATTTGTTATTAGGTTAACAAATTTGAAGAACTTAGCTCCAAAGTGACCACCTCGATAAAAGCCAAACGTGTATGAATACACAAGGCTTCCTGTCCCCTGACACAATTATAATTATTATATGGCTATCAATGCAGAAATTTTAGAGCTAAATATGTTGTCTATTGGTGTCTTACATAAAGAAAATCTTGTTTTCAGTGCGAGGGAGAGAAAATGACAGTGGAGTCAGCAATAGAAACACATGTTATTAGTAAAAACTAACTTAGATTATGCTGTGTGATTCTGTTCACCATACTACAAGACAGATGTCAATTTCTTGAAAACATTCAATGTAGAATCACAAAGTTAATCCCTGGAAATAAAAACCTTTCTAATAATGTTAGATTAAAAACACTGAAGATGCACTCTTTCAAAGGCACAGAGCAATGAAAGATACACTATAATAGAGGTATACATATGAATAAAAGCATAAACAAGGTGGATATAAGCAAAGTATTAACCCTAGCAAATCAAGTTAGAGCTCATTACAATGATTTAAAGTAGGCATATTTAGATTTAGAAGCTATATAGGGAAACATTGCTTTGTTATAGTAGTAGACAAATGAAAAACATTGCCAAGGAAATCAAATGACTATATAAAAAGACTACAACTGTCTAACAATGTCAACTAGTAATTTTTGCTAGAACTGGAATAGGTTATATGTATTATTGTGAATATACCTGAATTTACCAGAATTTACTTGAAACTACCCAAGTGCCACCATCTCTAGTAGCCTTCATGAAGCCAGTGACTTTGTCAATAGGCCCCTCAATTATTCCTGAAGGCTTTCCCTAGTTGAATTTTGAACTGGAGTACTGAAATTTTGTAGACAACCTTTTGTCCATACACTCCTTGTGTGTTTAAATGTGAACAAATAGCTTCTTACCACTTTTGTTCTCTTGAGATTACCTCACTAATGTCAACTTACCTTTTTGTTGAAATTACTAAATAGATTTGGCCTTAGTCCCAGAAAAAGCACCAATGATACTTCAATTGATATGCTGGATTTGATACATGCAGCACTTGAATTGACTTGCCGACCTGCATAAGGCCTTTGACACCATTAACAACAATAATTATAACGATCTTCTCAAGTGCACCACTACAGAATTAGTGGTCATTTCCTTCAATGATCTTACTTCAGTGACAGTTAACTGCCAGTTAAAATTGGAGTTCCACAAGGGAAGTATACACAGTCCACTCCTCTTTCTCATTTACATCAATTACCTATCAAATGCCATGCAACTCCTGAAGCTAATTCTATTTGCTGATGACACAACCTTCTTTTCTCAAATGCTAACCCCCTCTTATTCTAACCGACACAGTGAATGCTGAACTGATTAAGTTCATGTATGGCTGAATGCTAACATACTATATTACATCTTGTTTGTAAAGAAGTCCACCAATCAAATTGAGCTAAGAATTAATAACACCCTAATTGAGAGCAGAGTACATGGAAAATTCCTTGGTGTTCACATTGGCAAAATGAATTTCAATTGCCATTCATAAACTATAAAAAAAAAAGTTTATTAAAAGTAATTTTCTGTAAAATTCGATATCACGTATCTCGCTCTGCCTTGGTAGTAGTAGGCATCCATCAGTCTCAGGAGACTATAGAGTTGCGCTTCGGTTGTCGGTCTGGAGTGGCCTCCCCAGACTGACAACCTCTGCTTTGGTAACACTATATTATGCATAGTATTATATACTGTAAAGACCGACAACCAGAGCGCAACTCCATAGTCTCCTATGACTGATGGATGCCTACTACTATATACTGTACAATATTAAATTTGAGTTAAAGGAGAGTTCAGTAGCATAATTTAATGTTATTATGTATATTTCAACATCCCCTAACAGAGGACTAAGCATTAGTTTTAATTTTGAATAAAACGAATTAGAAGTACCAATTCATTCGCATTACCGATTGGATTAAATTTTTGTTTAGCTTACCTCATATGGAAGATAGTTCACAGACATGATGAACTCCTCTGTTAACGCACCATACACTAGAACCCTTGACACTTTATACCTATAGTAACCTTGGGAAGGAACTCAACAGCCCCTCATCTCGTGCCTCGGGAAGACACTGAAACGCCTCTTACTGTATCACACTTCCAAGACTTTAGTGCAACTTATAAAATGCAATATTTCTGTCCCTCCTTGAAGTTTACGTCTTATGCCTCTCTTTTGATTTAAATTATTTAAATATAAATGTGTATTGTTTCTGTTTTCAAAGCTAGCGACAACAGTATATGAAAAATTAACAAATATTATGGATCTTTAAAGTTTAAATTGTGCCAGATGCACTTTATTTCTGTTATGGTAGATCAGCTGACCTACTCTGTTGCCAGATGAACCATAACTAACGTTTTTTTAATTCATCAATACATATGTTACTAAAATAAGATTTAAAACAAAGTTTAATTACACCTTTCATATTATTTGTATCTTTATTCAAACCTATGCATAGTTTAAATAATTATACATATACAAGTAAATTTTATAATAACTTGTCTACTTGCCTCTTAAATCGCAGCGAAATGCTCTATATTTAATTAACAACTTTTGTATTAAAAATATATGTCGTTTTAAAATTAGTTGGAATGAATAACAAATTATGAAATTATATACTTCTGCTGTAGGCGGTAGATGTAGATTTTCCATAGCAAATACGACAATTTTTACGTAGTCAGGCGAATGCTAACATGAAATTATTTTACTGGGCAAAGATTCTTGTGCTATACCCAGCAGGATTTTGCTAGTTGGGGCTAATACAACAGCCTTACATATAATGTTCTCACTTGATTTTTAGTCAGAGTTGATTTGTTTTTGTACTGAGGCTGGTATTTGCTTCCCCTGATTCCATGTATGATTAACCATCCTGTGAGATGGGAATATTAGATGAAGTTATAGCTAGTTTTTGATCTACATTGTGTAAATTTTCATATAGAATAGGGTAGCAGCACATTGCTGTGTTAATAAAAACACTAAGCTTGTTAATGATAATAAAAACAAAAATACGTGACAATATTGTGACCTTGTATTTGTTGCACTGTTCATATGCTTCATCTAATAAAACATTTAATAACAGAATAAAGGAACATAACTATATATGATTAATTGATGTGCCAATCGAGCAGAAATAGTGATGTTTGCAATTAAGAAAGAGTAGCTACCCATTTTAAAGTCAGCATCAATTTATAAGAAGATATTTTGATACTTAATTCAGTTTACACAGTCCTCACAAACAATTAATTTAACTTAAATTACAAAAAAATAAATTTCTACCTAAAGCTCATATCATTAAATACAGAAATTTATAAACAAAATATATATATTTTGTGTATGTTCTCAAATTATCCATATTTGATGCTGACATGGCATCGACTGCAGACGATGTCATGGTTTTGTTTACATACGAAGTTGATCACATGCAGCATGAGTGCTGGGAAAAAAGGAAGAGATAACATAAACATATAAGAGATAACAGCTAAGCCTGACTTTCCCAGGTGTTTCCAGGAGACAAGCCACACACAACACATCTGGTGCGGCTATCGGCTGCTCGGCAAATACTACGTGCTTGTGTGCTGACCTGTGTTCCAGCTATGGCAATGTTTTGCATTCTCAGAAACTCCTTGGGACAACTGGGAGAGTGTTGGACAGGTGTTAAATGCTCGCAAGTGCCTTCAGTGTGTAGATATTTGAGCAGCCGAGGTCTAGCTCCCAGCACGAGAACATACTGTTCTCGCGAGGACTCGCAAAAGCCACCCAAGTTGGAAGAGAGTCGAAAACAAACCTTTCGGAGGCATGAATTTGAGGATCCCATTAAAAGAACGTTTGGTATACTGAGTGACGACATAAAAAATTATTTCTCTGGAATCCGTTCAAAATTGCACCATGCAGGAGAAATGTTTAGCGGAGAAGCTGCTAAAGCGCCGTCAGGAGAAAACACTGTACATCAGAATGGCCCTGAACTTTTGTGGCCCTCCCATTGTGACGTGCTGGTGGTGGGTGGTGGAGTCATGGGGTCTTCTATTGCGTATCATCTCAAAGAGCGGGCACTAGAGGGGTTAAATGTAGTAGTTGTTGAGGAAGACTTTTCAGTAAGTATTAAATATTGTTATGCTTATCTATATTACTATACAATCTGCTTTCTCCCATCCTGTAGTGACATTCTGAGTTATTTGTTGATTGTTTGCTTTAAATTTATGGAATTTATTGTGCAATCTTTTTAATCATATAATTATAGTTTTATAATAAACTGATAATGTAATGCTTATAGCAAAATATCTATAATTATAGGTAATTATAGATATTTTTTGGCTTAAATACTGTATTAGATTAAAACTATTTTCTCTCTTACCAGTACAGAAAGGCATCAACTGTCCTCTCGGTTGGCGGCATTCGACAGCAGTTCAGTGTGCACGAGAACATCCAGCTGTCTCAGTATGGGGCAGAGTTTTTACGTCAATCCCCGAAATTACTAGCAGTAGAAGGGATGGATCCTCCTAACATGCAGTTTAACCCTCATGGTTATCTGACACTAGCATCGGAGGCAGGGATGTCCCAGCTTGAAGAAAATTATAAATTACAAATGTAAGTTCTAAAGGATGTGTTTTTACAGGCCAACATATGTAGTACACATATATTAAGGAACACTGAAATTTTTGTTCAGCCTGGTAATTACCTTTTGGTAATTAAATTACTTATGTTACATAAATCATGCATATATATATTCTAATATCTTTATATATAATTATATTTATATTAGAATTATATATATATATAATTTATATATATTTCTTTGAAAATGTACCTTCTATTTGTTTGCATGCATATGTATATATAATGTATGTTGTATGTCTTGGATTGGTATTGAGATGCTCTTTAAATTATAGAGAAATGGGTGCCAAAGTGAAGTTTATGGATGCAAAGCAACTTAAGAATATGTTTCCATGGCTTGATACAACTGGCATTGATGCTGGAGTCTTGGGCCTGGAAAATGAAGGGTGGTAAGTACACAAACATTCAAAGCTTTATCATATGGGAAGCTTACCCCCATCCCATCTCAAATCCTTATCCTGACCCCTTCCAAGTGCTGTATAGTTGTAATGGCTTGGTGCTTTCCCCCTGAAAATTTCTTTCCCTTGGTAATTCCAAATACTTTTTTAAATTGCCTGAAATGCTCTGCCTTCACATGCGAGAAAAGGATTGTTAAATCATTAAATCTGCAGTATAAATATAACTTAAGTTAATGTTGAATAAAGCCAGTGATGAGTGGAGGTGCCACAATCAACCAGTTCATAATTGCTCTTATTGCAAATGTTTTGTTTATTATTTTATCACCTCCAACACTTTTTAACAGGTCCCTCTTCAGATTCATTATGCAACAGATCATGCAAAGTTTCTTCTTTTCTGTCCCTTGCACAGTTTCATCATGTCGTGTTACTCCCAATTTTATGTGTGTTCACTACCAACATGTCTTTCAACTTTTATCTTTGATTCTTTTTCCCCATTTCTTTTACATGTACTACACACAGTTTGCAGTTGTGTGTCATGCATTCCAATTTTTCAATTTCTTTTTTGTTTTACTGTGTCACTTATTCTCATATTATCTTTTGTTAAAAATAAGAAAGCCTCTGTGATCAAGCTAGCACTTGTTTAAACAAAACTATTCCTTCTTCCATTAACAGAGGTGGGAATTGTGAAAGCGACTTGTATTCCTAGATGTGTGTCAAAGCATTATCATTTTTAAATTTGTAAGTTTGGTCAACAGAATCTGTACTAGTAACTATTTTTGCATTTTTTGTGTACTGTATTGTCATTTTCTAATGTTAAATTCTTCTTTGCCTTGTGCTAGGTTTGACCCATGGAGCCTTTTAATCAGTCTTCGACGAAAGGCTGTTTCCCTTGGAGCTCAGTATATCGAAGGCAAAATTACAGGGTTAGACTATGTAGTTTATGATGATGTGTATCTGGAGACACACTATCAATCAAACATTAAAAATCTTCGGGTTGCTGAGGTGAGTGATGCTGGTGAGATGGCATACAGAAATGTACCCAAATGTCTTAATTCATTTGTAGTATGATTCAAATACAGTATGTATCAAATACTACCAGCACAGGTATGACCAAAGTCTTCTCTTGGCTCAGACTAAAACTTGTATCAGCAATGTATTTTGGTGATATACAGTATCAGCAATACAAATTAATATCTTAATTTGTGTTGCATTTACAGATTTTATTTTAATGTAATATTATTGGACAATTTTCTTTCAATACATAAATAAGTTATTTCAAAAACCTATGGTACCATTTTTAATCCACTTAAGAAAATAGCTTCAGTGATTAGAGGACTAGCAACCTTACATTATTGACTGCATTTTGGACACATTATTACTTGTTTTATTTTTTGCTCTTAACCAAAAAAAAAGCACACTATCTTGAGGTATCTCAACATGACTTAGAATTTACCTAACCTGTTGCAATCTGTCCTAATTAAACAGAAGCTAACTTTTCACAAGAAAAGTGTGGATGGACAAATGAAACCTATTGTTAACCAAAAGCACTAATCAAAGATGACAATGAGAGTTAGATAATAATTGAAAGTAAAATATAAAGCACTATTCAAAGATGCTAATCACTTGTACTGGTCAAATGTTAATCAAATGTTGTGGAGTATGTTTAAATGCCAGAGCTTAAGTATGAATCTTATTTAGAATGAGTTTTTACCATTAATTTTTGTTAATGCAGGTTACCCTTCCAAATGGGGAAAAGCGCAAAATCTCGTATGCAATTTTAGTGGTTGCAGCGGGGGCTTGGTCAGGGGAAGTAGGACGTCTAGTTGGCATTGGGAAAGGCAATGGCATTTTGTCTGTTCCAATTCCTGTTGAGCCAAGGTATGTGAAAAAAATATATATGTTATTCAATCTGTGTACTGTAATTAGATTTCATGAAGGCCAACTGTGGTTGATGAATAATTAATTAAGGTAATTAATATGCTTTATTATCTAGAATCAGACATGTCATGCTTATGTTTAGTTATGTATAAATTAAGCTGTAAATTTTGATATTGTAAGTTTGTACAGAGTAAACAACCCAACAAATTGGCACTAGTAACAAATACAAGGGCTAGAATTTTATAACTTTTACCTCTTCCCTGAGGTGCCCAACCACTTGGGCTGGACGGTAGAGCGATGGTCTCGATTCATGCAGGCCAGCGTTCAATCTCCGACAGTCCAAGTGGTTGAGCAACACTCCTTCCCCCGTCCCATTCTAAAGCCTTATCCTGACCCTTTCCAAGTGCTATATGGTTGTAATGGCTTGGTGCTTTTTCCTGATAGTTTTCTTCTTCCCTGAAGTATTTAAAACTTGTTTCCTCTTCCAGTATTCCCTCAGTTCTATTCTAGTTAAGATCAACTATGTCTTGCCACTCTATAGGGGTCTACAAAATCCACATCATGTTCACTTCTTTCAATTGCCATAACAATAATTTTTCCTACATTATCGCTGGACTTTCTTTTCTCTACTCTCGGCAAAGGACACCGCATCACTTTCATCCAGATGTGTCAATAACAACAGTTTATTCCCATCATAATCTGCTTCCACTTCTGTTGTTGTTGTTCACTTTGACTACTTAACTAACCCTGGCTTTTCTACTCTATACAATTTGATTGGAGTAGGCCTGATGTGTGTAATGTATTGCCGAGTATTATAACATAAATGACATTGAAGTAGGAAAGTGTAAAATGATGCTCTGATTAAATTATTTTGTCATTAAATTTGAGCACATTATTACTTTATATCTAAGTATTAACAAGGTGATCTCAACTTGTAAATTATTTAAACCCTGAATTAGCACTTAGTTATTTGCTATATTTTTATTTCAATTCTTATATGAATAATTGTTTATAATAAGTTTATCTCTTTTTATATGTTATAAATGTAATATTCCTATGAACTATTGAGATATATTTAACATTTTCTGGACATTTGAGCTTAAGGTGATGTGTATTATTCCAGAAAACGATATGTATACTGTGTCCATGCTCCAGATGGTCCAGGGCTAAACAGTCCACTGGTGATTGACCCTAATGGCACCTACTTTAGACGTGAGGGCTTAGGTGGTCTCTTCCTCTGTGGGCAGTCACCAGGAGATGATAATGAGCCTTCAATAGACAATCTTGAAGTTGATGAGACATTTTTCTATGATACAGTATGGCCAAATATTGCCGCTCGTGTTCCTTCATTCCAAAACCTAAAGGTATGAAATTTATAGGCTTTATAGATTTTTACCCCTTTTTTTATATTTAAACCGATAATGTTTAACTCGGGGTCTCTGAATACTTAAAAATCTCACTGGTTTGGGTGGTCAAGCTCTTTAATTCTGAACATATTTAAGTTGTTTTGAGAATATACTGTATATTCTGTATAAATATTTGTTCTTCATATCTTGTATAAAGTATTTTGTTTATTATTGACAGCTGAGGAGTTCATGGGCCGGTTATTATGACTACAATACCTTTGACCAGAATGGCATCATTGGACTTCATCCACTTTTCTCCAACTTCTTCATTGCCACAGGCTTCAGTGGTCATGGTAAGTTTTTTACAGTGATGAATAAGGATTTAGTTGAGTGTAAGTTAAGAATGAATATCTGGAAGAGAATAAGAAGTTAAGAGAAGCTGATCTTTGGGAAGTGGGAAGGAGTAAATCTTTATGCTTCATCCAAGTTGCTTCATAGTTGCAATACATATGCTACACAATCACTTTGGAGATTTTACTGTGGTAACTCAGATGGGTAGTACAGCCATTAACCTTCTCTTAAATGTCTTGTTTGAACTCGCTTGTCTTCTGCTGTTTGACTTCTTTTGTAAACTTTTTTTTTGTGATTCTTAATGTGATAGCATCAGTCTTACATGTTTACTAATGAATGAATGACTGAATAACTAATAAAAACTACAATAGCTTTAGATTATAGAGCTTAAGGTGAGCTCTGTATTATGACATGCAGAGGCATCAGAGAACCCCTTTTGATTGCCTGTCTTCATAATGTTTAAGAATTTAATTTGAGTTCTGTTTGCACAAATAGTTAACACTGCTAACAAACAAAAATTTATTCAATATATTTTTTACCAAATTAGCATCAACAAAATTTCATCACATGTTTTCTGCATTGTTATTACAGTTTTGTTTACTTTATTAATCCTTTTTAGAAAATCCAAATTACGTACTTTTAACAAAGCTTCAGTATTGGAATTACGCAGCTTTGATTTCTCTTTTGATCTTTAATAAATTTTGTGTATGAGAGAGGATGTTAGTTCTGATGGTTTATTCTTTGGGAATACTGTGGTTCAGTACTGTAGTCACTTAACACACTATGTATGGTGCAGTACATATAAAACGAGATCTTAAGGGTGTATAGTAAACTTAGGGGTGTATAGTAACAGAAATAATGCAAGTACCAAAAATCTTACATAACTTTTGGTGGTGTGACTTTTTCCAGGTCTCCAGCAGGCTGCAGGTGTGGGCCGAGCCATCATGGAATGCATCATTTACGGGGAGTACCGTTCTATCAATCTAGAACGCTTTGGCTTTGAGAGGCTTCTTGGGAATGAACCTCTTCTGGAGAAGAATTGTTATTAAGAACACACTTAATAGTTAAAGAGTTTAACATATTCAGGGCATTTGTAAAATAAAACATGCTTTAATTATACTGTACAGTTGCTGTACTGAATGAAGTTAGATATATAGTGTATAAATATAAATATAATTAATATAATTAAACATTATTTTAAGACATTTGGCAGTCAGCTGTACCAATTGTTTAAAGAACTACACAATTGTATATTTTTTAGTCCAGTGGACTAAAATAAAGCCTAAAAATAATTAAATGTTATTTTTCTTTCCATTTTGCCTTTTGACAGTTATTTAATAGGCATTAATCAATTTATGAATACAAAATATATTATAAATGAGCATCAGAAGGTGGTGTGTGCTAAAGAAGTGTACTTCCGAGCATATTTACTGTATTTGGAAATTATATAACCTAATTTGTTGGCTGGAGTATCTTCTAAAATTTCCTAATTTTGGGAAAAATAAATTTGGCACTAAAAAAGTCACAAATTCCCAAACAAAAAATCTAAGTCCGCCAACAAAAATTCAAATCCGATGAATAAAAAATTCCAAATCCACCTACAAAAAAAAAATCCAAATCTGCCAACAAATAATTCCAAATCCGCCAACAAAAAAATTCCAAATCTGCCAACAAGACGCTTCAACCTCGACACAGCAGACAATCAGACTGGCTGCATAGAGCTTCCACACCAAGCTCCTCGACTCCAACATTCAGAATGCTGAGCTCTATGCACACCCCTCATCTGAGCTCTCTCTCACCCCTCTCTGGTCTCACTCGGCCATCTGCTCTGCTCCAGGCTTCGTCTGAACTCCTATGACATTTCACTACACTACACTACCAACAACCCGACTACTGTAACCAAGACTATTAAATACAGTAAATATACATTGTGACAGATTGTGGTATCGCAGCTATACTGAATCAAGGTGGTATATGGCTCTCCATCAAACAACTAAACAGAAATGCTGCTTTTGGCCCTTGCTGTGTGGAAGTCGCAGGTAAAAACAAGTGGAAGTCATCAAATAAATAATTAAAACAATTTACTGAAATATTAATGAACAAATATGGCACATGAGAACACCTGGCGATCATACCCTTCAAAGGTGAATAAAATAATATGAAAATTAATAAAAGAATAAGTTGTGCAAGAAATACAATGAAAAGAATACATGAGTAAATGAGTAAATACTGGTGGTGCTGAAGACAACTACTATACCACCACAGCATCCAGCACAAAACGTAGGCTGAGGGCAGACGTTGCAGGAGGCCAAGGTGATCTAAGAGCACTAAGAGAGCGACCGACTCCCTTGGTGATTGAATGATGAAGATTAAGCCACCCAAAAGGGGGCACGGGCATGAATAGCCCATAAGTGATGGCCCTTTCGAGCCATTACCAGTATCAATAGATGATACTGGAAATCTGTGGAGGTACGACTGCATCCTGCGTGACGGGAGATGTCTCCCGTCGACTCCCTCGAATCGAATCGAATTAAATATAGGACAAGATACCCTTCGGGTGAGCTTTGAAGTGGGTATAGGTGAAGAATAGCTTGGGTGAGAGGAAGCGTCGGTAGTTGTAGAGATAGAGCCAGGGCTAGACCCAGCTGCGCGGCATAATATGAGGCTTCTTGAACACCTGGGGCCGGATTCAGGAAGGTACTTACGAAGGTTTTTCCTCTTAGCTAAGAGCGTTTTCCGTCTTAGCGCCTTCGTGGCGGCTACGTCCGTATTCAATTAACTACCCTAAGTGGAAAAACCTTCGTAAGTTCATTCCGGGATTTAAGTGTGGTTTCGACCACTCGTAGCTTTACGTAAACTGGATATAAGTCATTTTTTCTCTACTACATAACACTGGGATCGATTTATGATATTGGAACATGACCAAAATATTATAGCTGGTGAATCTAGTGAAGAGGAATCCTTCGTGTTAGTTATATATGCATTCTCTGCTTGAAACTTGAAGTAAATATGTGTTTGATGATAGTAGAATTAGTTTTATAATAGCAAGATATTATACCAGTAGTTATTAAGTAAATAAACACTGGTGAACATGAAATATGAGAGAAGGTGATGAGCCCTGCCTGATGGGATCATTTACTATCACCAAATGCCCCTGTTCACCTAGTAGTAAGGGTGTACCTTAGCTATACATACCCATTTCTAATTTATTTAGTTTGGTTATATTTTGAAATTAAATCTGGGTGAGACATAAAATAAAAATATGCTGCACAAATGATGTTAGGTAAGGAAATGGGTAAAAATGTCAAAAACTTTATTCATTGAATACTTAATGCTATAATTATGACTATATAGATTATTAAAAAAGAGAGAGGGAAGTAGGGGTCCAAGACCTCTTCCTGTTATACAATTTGGGTGTGGAACAAGTAATTATCAAAAGAAGGCACCATGCCGGGAAGGCTATGTAGCAGTAAGGCAGTGAGGTGAGGCAGCTACTTATTTGAGAAATGCTTATTTTATTTACCTTATAAGCTGAGGCAACTTATTTTATTTGAGGAATACTCAGCTGATTCCTCTACATTTAGCATGGAACAAATTTGTGTCTAAGACCTCTTCCTGTTAATCAATTTAGCTGTGTGTAACCAAACTAGAAGTGCTCTACAAATCAAGGGACCCAGAATGTGGAATGACCTCCCGAATCATGTCAAAGGCTGTACCTCTCTCAACCAGTTTAAGAGTTAAACCAAGTACTGCCTAATTAACTCCATGTAACCTAACTTACCTCCTAAATGTCAACCCATGTCTTGCTATTTTTTAAACAACGCTGTTCACCAACATGTGCAATTGCTGATTTATGCTATGTTAACCCCCTTTTTGTATTTTTTATTCCTTCTTTCAACACAATTTATACCTAATCCCGATTACTATTAAGTTTTAGTCTGTGTTTTTTCCCCCACACCTTGCCCGAAATGCTATGAGTATTAGTGGCTTTAGGTATTGTATGTACTAGCTCTGTCTATAAATCCAACATTATGTTTGTAAATCAACTGTATGTACTTTTCCTGAATAAAATGTATTTAATATTTATTTTTTAATCGGTAAGTATTAAAAGAAGGCACCAAGCTGGGAAGGCTATGTAGCACCATTGTGTGTAACAATAAACCAAATTTTTTTTAACAAATAATGCACCTGTATGGGAAAACAAATCCTGTCAGCTGTAAAAATATTGATGCAGTTATTTAAATGAAAAATATAATGAAAGAAATATTACTGGTTTATTTTTATCCTATCTTTTTGTTCTGTACAGTATATCCAAGGAAGTGAAAAATTAAGACATAATGCACAATTTAATGAATGATTAGCATGGATTAGCAGTTCAAAAGAAATATGACTTGTATTACATATCAACATGAGATCTTAATGATCCATGGTCAACATGATTTAATAAGTATAATACAGTACTGTATTTGTAATAATACAAACTATAATTTAAAATCTTTATTACTGATTTTTTTGTTAAGAAGATTAGGTATACACAGCAATGTGCTGCTACCCTATTCTATATGGAATATTACACAGTGTAGATAAAAAACTAGCTATAAGTTTATCTAATACTCCCATCTCAAAGGATGGTTAGACATACTGTACATGGAATCAATTTAGAAAATACCAGCCTCAATACAAAAAACAAATCAACTCTGACTAAACAACTCTAAGCAATTTTCACAAGAGGTAAGCACTGAATCATGGAAACATTATATTATAATTACTCTTACCAGTTTCTACAAAACTCCTCTCAAACAATGTATTTTTAAACATGTTTAGGTATACACAGCAATGTGCTGCTTCCCTATTCTGTATAAAGGACCACACAGTGTAGATCAAAAACCAGCTACAAGCTCACCCAACATCCTCACCTCACAGGATGGCCAGTCATACATGGAATTAGGAGAGAACAAAATACTTAATGCTGATCTATTAGCCTCCACTGGCAAAATCTGGGTGCAGCATAAGAATATCTTCCAATATTCCTGAGTGTATGAAGTAATTACAGAGCTCAAAATACCTCATACCATTTGGTATGAAGTCATTGATAACAGGACAATCCCAGATATAGTGTTGGAGAGTATGTTCTCTCAAGTAGGACTGAAAACAGATGTTTTTTTTTCCACCAAGAGGGCTATAAACCCATGGAACCGCCTACCCGCTGAAGCCGTAAATGCCAAATTCCAGCTAAAAAATATCATTAAGACAATTGAGCCGCCGGCTTTCTGTCCTCGGGCCCTTTAACAAGCCGCCGGCTTTCTGTCCTCGTCGAGGCCACTAGATAGTTAGTGGCCCTTGGGTAAATTCAGTAAATATATACAATAATTGTCAGCGCATCTTCCGAGCAACAAGGACAGCTACACGGTATCTCTTAGAATTACGTAGGTAAACAACAAATGTAACATATTTGTTTACTACAATGTCGGTGCTGGCTGTAGAAGTTGAAAAAACATTGTTTTACTTCGAAATATACTAATTTTATAAGAAAATTCGACGTAAATAGGAGGCAGTAAAGCTCCGATAAGCCAGCGCTTATCGCTAGAGGTCACTACTGTGTTTCGTTTGGCCAATCAGAGAGCAGCAACATTCTTCATATTGAAGATTTAGCGCTGGCTTATAGGAGCTCTACTGCCTCCTATTTACGTCGAATTTTCTTATAAAATTAGTATATTTCGAAGTAAAACAATGTTTTTTCAACTTCTACAGCCAGTACCGACATTGTAGTAAACAAATATGTTACATTTGTTGTTTACCTACGTAATTCTAAGAGATACTGTGTAGCTGTCCTTGTTGCTCGGAAGATGCGCTGACAATTATTGTATATATTTACTGAATTTACCCAATGGCCACTAACTATCTAGTGACCTCGAAGAGGACAGAAAGCCGGCGGCTTGTTAAAGGGCCCGCCAATTGAATTAATGTTATTTTTTAGCTGGAATTTGGCATTTACAGATTCAGCGGGTAGGCGGTTCCATGGGTTTATAGCCCTCTTGGTGGAAAAAAAACATCTGTTTTCAGTCCTACTTGAGAGAACATACTCTCCAACACTATACTATCTGTGATTGTCCTGTTATCAGTGACTTCATACCAAATGGTATGAGGTACTTTGAGCTCTGTAATTACTTCATACACTCAGGAATATTGGAAGATATTCTTGTGCTGCACCCAGATTTTGCCAGTGGAGGCTAATAGATCAGCATTAAGTATTTTGTTCTCTCCTAATTCCATGTATGACTGGCCATCCTGTGAGGTGAGGATGTTGGGTGAGCTTGTAGCTGGTTTTTGATCTACACTGTGTGGTCCTTTATACAGAATAGGGAAGCAGCACATTGCTGTGTATACCTAAACATGCTTAAAAATACGTTGTTTGAGAGGAGTTTTGTAGAAACTGGTAAGAGTAATTATAATATAATGTTTCCATGATTCAGTGCTTACCTCTTGTGAAAATTGCTTAAGAGTTGTTTAGTCAGAGTTGATTTGTTTTTTGTATTGAGGCTGGTATTTTCTAAATTGATTCCATGTACAGTATGTCTAACCATCCTGTGAGATGGGAGTATTAGATAAACTTATAGCTAGTTTTTTATCTACATTGCGTAATATTCCATATAGAATAGGGTAGCAGCACATTGCTGTGTATACCTAATCTTCTTAATAAAAAAAATCAGTAATAAAGATTTTAAATTATAGTTTGTATTATTACAAATACAGTACTGTATTATCCTTATTAAATCATGTTGACCATGGATCATTAAGATCTCATGTTGATATGTAATACAAGTCATATTTCTTTTGAACTGCTAATCCATGCTAATCATTCATTAAATTGTGTATTATGTCTTAATTTTTCACTTCCTTGGATATACTGTACAGTACTAAAAGATAGGATAAAAATAAACCAGTAATATTTCTTTCATTATATTTTTCATTTAAATAACTGCATCAATATTTTTACAGCTGACAGGATTTGTTTTCCCATACAGGTGCATTATTTGTTAAAAAAAAATTGGTTTATTGTTACACACAATGGTGCTACATAGCCTTCCCAGCTTGGTGCCTTCTTTTAATACTTACTGATTAAAAATAAATAATAAATACATTTTATTCAGGAAAAGTACATACAGTTGATTTACAAACATAATGTTGGATTTATAGGCAGAGCTAGTACATACAATACCTAAAGCCACTAATACTCATAGCATTTCGGGCAAGGTGTGGGGGGAAAAAAACACAGACTAAAACTTAATAGCAATCGAGATTAGGTATAAATTGTGTTGAAAGAAGGAATAAAAAATACAAAAAGGGGGTTAACATAGCATAAATCAGCAATTGCACATGTTGGTGAACAGCGTTGTTTAAAAAATAGCAAGACATGGGTTGACATTTAGGAGGTAAGTTAGGTTACATGGAGTTAATTAGGCAGTACTTGGTTTAACTCTTAAACTGGTTGAGAGAGGTACAGCCTTTGACATGATTCGGGAGGTCATTCCACATTCTGGGTCCCTTGATTTGTAGAGCACTTCTAGTTTGGTTACACACAGCCAAATTGAGTAACAGGAAGAGGTCTTGGACACAAATTTGTTCCATGCTAAATGTAGAGGAATCAGCTGAGTATTCCTCAAATAAAATAAGTTGCCTCAGCTTATAAGGTAAATAAAATAAGCATTTCTCAAATAAGTAGCTGCCTCACCTCACTGCCTTACTGCTACATAGCCTTCCCGGCATGGTGCCTTCTTTTGATAATTACTTGTTCCACACCCAAATTGTATAACAGGAAGAGGTCTTGGACCCCTACTTCCCTCTCTCTTTTTTAGTAGTCTATATAGTCATAATTATAGCTTTAAATATTCAATGAATAAAGTTTTTGACATTTTTACCCTTTTCCTTACCTAACATCATTTGTGCAGCATATTTTTATTTTATGTCTCACCCAGATTTAATTTCAAAATAAAACCAAACTAAATAAATTAGAAATGGGTATGTATAGCTAAGGTACACCCTTACTACTAGGTGAACAGGGGCATTTGGTGATAGTAAATGATCCCATCAGGCAGGGCTCATCACCTTCTCTCATATTTCATGTTCACCAGTGTTTATTTACTTAATAACTACTGGTATAATATCTTGCTATTATAAAACTAATTCTACTATCATCAAACACATATTTACTTCAAGTTTCAAGCAGAGAATGCATATATAACTAACACGAAGGATTCCTCTTCACTAGATTCACCAGCTATAATATTTTGGTCATGTTCCAATATCATTAATCGATCCCAGTGTTATGTAGTAGAGAAAAAATGACCTACTCTAAGGGGCCAGATTCACGAAAGCACTTACGCAAACACTTGTGAACGTATACATCTTTCCTCAATCTTTGACGGCTTTGGTTACGTTTATTAAACAGTTTACAAGCATGAAAACTTGCCATTCAACTCCTGTTATTGTTATAAACAGCCTCCTGGTGCTTCGGAGCTCATTAAGTGTTTAATAATTGGAAACAAAGTCGCCAAAGATTGAGAAAAGATATACAGGTTCGTAAGTGTTTGCGTAAGTGCTTTCGTGAATCTGGCCTGAATCCGGCCCCTGGAATTTCAAAATGGCGTTCAAACAGCGGTTGGTCGTTGAAGGCTCAGCTGCTCAGTAGTGTCGCTGCCGCCAACGCGACAACATGTACCGCTGATTTCCGACATCGGCAACATTGCTCCAGGTAAGAGTGATAATTCTTTTTGACATATTTATATCTTATATATACACAGTATATAGAATTATATGGGGTTTCGCGTATGGAGTTTGCTTCGAACAATGCCTATCAATGTTAGTTTAGTTCGTTTATTATGCACCCCATACCCATCTTGTGGGCTACTTTGAGGTGCTTCCGGGGCTTAGTGTCCCCGCGGCCCGGTCGTCGACCAGGCCTCCTGGTTGCTGGACTGATCAACCAGGCTGTTGGACGCGGCTGCTCGCAGCCTGACGTATGCGTCACAGCCTGGTTGATCAGGTATCCTTTGGAGGTGCTTATCCAGTTCTCTCTTGAACACTGTGAGGGGTCGGCCAGTTATGCCCCTTATGTGTAGTGGAAGCGTGTTGAACAGTCTCGGGCCTCTGATGTTGATAGTTCTCTCTGAGTATCTGTTGTACCTCTGCTGGGCGGTAGTGGAAAGGGTTACAGAGGCACATAATGGGCTCTGGGACTGAACCCCACAATTCATTTAGCTAAGCAAGTTACAATCTTGATGAGCTTGTTACAAAATTCAATATAAGTCGTCACATCAACAATGGGTTCGAGATCGACCTCAAGTATAGGTTCTAAATTAAGCACCTGACATATGTGGAGAGCTAGTGTCACAATTTATGTTTGTCCTGCACACCGCCCCCCATCCAGTGGGCAACGGTGGATAGGTTACAATTTAATCACTCGGTTACTACCTACAGTTAGCAGACTGGGGATATTTGGCTAAAATTTCTGGTAGCAGATCAGGTCCCCCATTTGTTCCGATTTTTTTTTCAAATTGGATTTTACAATTCAAGTGTTATGTTATTTACTGCTTTAGCAGATAGGCGGTTCCATGGGTTTATAACCCTGTGGGTGAAAATATAGCTTATGTTTTCAGTCCTACACTGCGGCTTGTTGGACTTGAAACCGTTGTTCCTTGTTCGTGTTCCATCTGACCTTTTGAAGTTGTTCTCTGGATCCATATCTTCGAAACTGTTCAATATTTTAATAGGCAGGCGATGAGTCACAATAACGTGGCGGAAGTATGTTGACCAGACCACACACTAGAAGTTGAAGGGACGACGAGTTTCGGTCCGTCCTGGACCATTCTCAAGTCGATTCAAGTCGATATTTTAATAGTTTCGGTGAGATCCATCCTGGCATGCCTAGTTTGCAGTGTTGTTAGCCCTGTGACCCTCAACCGTTCATGGTATGAAACTAGACCTCATTCTGCAATTATTTTTGTCGCCTGGTGTTCAATTTTCTCCATGAAAGGTTGGGCGCGGGGTGGGTTCTCTGTCGGCCTCCAAGTGGGTTCTCTGTCGGGCTCCAAGTGGGTTCTCTGTCGGGCTCCAAGTGGGTTCTCTGTCGGGCTCCAAGTGGGTTCTCTGTCGGGCTCCAAGTGGGTTCTCTGTCGGGCTCCAAGTGGGTTCTCTGTCGGGCCCCAAGTGGGTTCTCTGTCGGGCCCCAAGTGGGTTCTCTGTCGGGCCCCAAGTGGGTTCTCTGTCGGGCCCCAAGTGGGTTCTCTGTCGGGCCCCAAGTGGGTTCTCTGTCGGGCCCCAAGTGGGTTCTCTGTCGGGCCCCAAGTGGGTTCTCTGTCGGGCCCCAAGTGGGTTCTCTGTCGGGGCTCCGGGGTGGGTTGTCGGTCGGGGCTCCGGGGTGGGTTGTCGGTCGGGGCTCCGGGGTGGGTTGTCGGTCGGGGCTCCGGGGTGGGTTGTCGGTCGGGGCTCCGGGGTGGGTTGTCGGTCGGGGCTCCGGGGTGGGTTGTCGGTCGGGGCTCCGGGGTGGGTTGTCGGTCGGGGCTCCGGGGTGGGTTGTCGGTCGGGGCTCCGGGGTGGGTTGTCGGTCGGGGCTCCGGGGTGGGTTGTCGGTCGGGGCTCCGGGGTGGGTTGTCGGTCGGGGCTCCGGGGTGGGTTGTCGGTCGGGGCTCCGGGGTGGGTTGTCGGTCGGGGCTCCGGGGTGGGTTGTCGGTCGGGGCTCCGGGGTGGGTTGTCGGTCGGGGCTCCGGGCAGGCTTTAGGTACTCAACTGGCGGGCTCTAGGTGGGTGACTGTTCGGGCTCCAGGTGGGTGTCTGTCTGGCTTCGGGTGGGTTCTTGGTAGGGCTTGGGGGGTGTGGGTTCTTGGTAGGGCTTGGGGGGGTGTGGGTACTTGGTAGGGCTTGGGGGGGTGTGGGTTCTTGGTAGGGCTTGGGGGGGGGGGTGTGGGTTCTTGGTAGGACTTAGGGGGGTGTGGGTTCTTGGTAGGACTTGGGGGGGTGTGGGTTCTTGGTAGGGCTTGGGGGGGTGTGGGTTCTTGGTAGGGCTTGGGGGGGGTGTGGGTTCTTGGTAGGGCTTGGGGGGGTGTGGGTTCTTGGTAGGGCTTGGGGGGGGTGTGGGTTCTTGGTAGGGCTTGGGGGGGTGTGGGTTCTTGGTAGGGCTTGGGGGGGTGTGGGTTCTTGGTAGGGCTCGGGGGGTGTGGGTTCTTGGTAGGGCTCGGGGGGTGTGGGTTCTTGGTAGGGCTCGGGGGGGGTGTGGATTCTTGGTAGGGCTCGGGGGGGTGTGGGTTCTTGGTAGGGCTCGGGGAGGTGTGGGTTCTTGGTAGGGCTCGGGGGGGGGGGGGTGGGTTCGTGGTAGGGCTCGGGGGGGTGTGGGTTCTTGGTAGGGCTCACGGGGTGTGGGTTCTTGGTAGGGCTCGGGGGGGTGTGGGTTCTTGGTAGGGCTCGGGGGGGGGTGTGGGTTCTTGGTAGGGCTCGGGGGGGTTGGGTTCCCTGTAGGGCTCGGGGTAGGTTCTCGGTAGGGCTCGGGGTGGGTTCTCGGTAGGGCTCGGGGCGGGCTCCAGGTACTCAACTGACGGGTTCCAGGTCACTCAACTGGCGGGCTCCGGTTCACTCAACTGGCGGGCTCCGGTTTATTAAACTGGCGGGCTCCGGGTGTTTGACTGGTCGGGCTCCGGGTGGGTGACTGTTCGGGCTCCAGGTGGGTGTCTGTCCGGCTTCGGGTATGTTCTTGGTACGGCTTCGGGGTGGGTTCTTGGTAGGACTTAGGGTTGGCTCCCGGTCAGGCTCAGGGTGGGCTCTTTCGGGTTCGGGATGGGCTCTCGGGCTTGGGGTACCTCTGTAGGGCTCAGGGTAGGTTCTTGGTCGGGCCCAGGGTGGGTTCTCTGTAGGGCTCAGGGTGTTTTCATGGTAGGACTAGGGGTGGGTTCTCTGTAGGGATCAGGGTGGGTTCTCGGTAGGGCTCTGGGTGGGTTCTCGGTCGGGCTCGGGGCGGGCTCCAGGTACTCAACTGACGGGTTCCTGTTCACACAACTGGCGGGCTCCGGTTCACTCAACTGGCGGGCTCCGGTTTACTAAACTGGCGGGCTCCGGGTGTTTGACTGGTCGGGCTCCGGGTGGGTGACTGTTTGGGCTCCAGGTGGGTGTCTGTCCGGCTTCGGGTGGGTTCTCGGTAGGGCTTAGGGGTGGGTTCTCAGTAGGGCTTGGGGGTGGGTTCTCGGTAGGGCTTGGGGCTGAGTTCTCGGTAGGGCTTGGGGCTGGGTTCTCGGTAGGGCTTGGGGCTGGGTTCTCGGTAGGGCTTGGGGCTGGGTTCTCGGTAGGGCTTGGGGCTGGGTTCTCGGTAGGGCTTGGGGGTGGGTTCTCGGTAGGGCTTGGGGCTGGGTTCTCGGTAGGGCTTGGGGCTGGGTTCTCGGTAGGGCTTGGGGCTGGGTTCTCGGTAGGGCTTGGGGGTGGGTTCTCGGTAGGGCTTGGGGGGTGGGTTCTCGGTAGGGCTGGGGGGTGGGTTCTCGGTAGGGCTCGGGGCTGGGTTCTCGGTAGGGCTCGGGGCTGGGTTCTCGGTAGGGCTTGGGGGGTGGGTTCTCGGTAGGGCTTGGGGGGTGGGTTCTCGGTAGGGGTCGGGGTGGGCTCTTTCGGGATCGGGATAGGCTCTCGGGCTTCGGGAACCTCTGTAGGGCTCGGGGTAGGTTCTTGGTCGGGCTCAGGGTGGGTTCTCGGTAGGGCTCGGGGCGGGCTCCAGGTACTCAACTGACGGGTTCCAGGTCACTCAACTGGCGGGCTCCGGTTTACTAAACTGGCGGGCTCCGGGTGTTTGACTGGTCGGGCTCCGGGTGGGTGACTGTTCGGGCTCCAGGTGGGTGTCTGTCCAGCTTCGGGTGGGTTCTTGGTAGGTATTAGGGCTGGGTTCTTGGTAGGGCTTGGGGTGGGTTTTGGTAGGGCTTGGGGGGTGGGTTCTCGGTAGGGCTTGGGGGGTGGGTTCTCGGTAGGGCTTGGGGGGTGGGTTCTCGGTAGGGCTTGGGGGGGGTGGGTTCTCGGTAGGGCTTGGGGGGGTGGGTTCTCGGTAGGGCTTGGGGGGGTGGGTTCTCGGTAGGGCTTGGGGGGGTGGGTTCTCGGTAGGGCTTGGGGGGGTGGGTTCTCGGTAGGGCTTGGGGGGGGTGGGTTCTCGGTAGGGCTTGGGAGGGTTGGTTCTCGGTAGGGCTTGGGGGGGTGGGTTCTCGGTTGGGATTGGGGGGGTGGGTTCTCGGTAGGGCTTGGGGGGTGGGTTCTCGGTAGGGGTCGGGGTGGGCTCTTTCGGGATTGGGATAGGCTCTCGGGCTTGGGGAACCTCTGTAGGGCTCGGGGTAGGTTCTTGGTCGGGCTCAGGGTGGGTTCTCGGTAGGACTCGGGGCAGGCTCCAGGTACTCAACTGACGGGTTCCAGTTCACTCAACTGGCGGGCTCCGGTTCACTCAACTGGCGGGCTCCGGTTTACTAAACTGGCGGGCTCCGGGTGTTTGACTGGTCGGGCTCCGGGTGGGTGACTGTTCGGTCTCCAGGTGGGTGTCTGTCCGGCTTCGGGTGGGTCCTTGGTAGGGCTTGGGGTGGGTTCTTGGTAGGTATTGGGGTTGGGTTCTTGGTAGGGCTTTGGGCTGGGTTCTCGGTAGGGCTTGGGGGGTGGGTTCTCGGTAGGGTTTGGGGGGGTGGATTCTCGGTAGGGCTTGGGGGGGTGGGTTCTCGGTAGGGCTTGGGGGAGTGGGTTCTCGGT